CCCGGGACTCAGCACGTTCCTCAAAATTGCCCTCTTGCGGATTCCCGTGGCAGGGTCGTACCTCTTGCGCGACTTCCCCCAGCAATCAAACCCGTTGTTCGAAGCCGCGTTGCTCGCGATATCGAAGGGCTCTCCCGTGCGCAGTTGCTGCAGGGCGGCATAACTACATCTGCGAGCTCATGCTCGCGATGTTGTCGATCGGCTCCTCCGAGTCATCTCCGAAAGCTGTGCTGACCGCTTCGATGGTAACTGCCTCTGGCCTATCAATCGCCCACTCCAGGACTTCTCGCAGTTTATCTCCATGCACTGAGACCGCAAACGACTCAAACTTCTTGCTTCACTCTCTGAACTTACTCTCATCTCCTGAAAATCCACTTGGTTTTTTGATACCTCGGTTGTCTACCAGTCCTGGAGAGGCGCCCTGGCCACGACTCTCGACTAGCGATGTCAGCGTCTGTACGAGATCTGGTAACTGTCGTAGACCATCTGGATGTTCCTGTCGCAATCGTGCGTTCTCCGCCTCCGAATTCTGTAGCTGGACCGCGAGCTGTCTCTGGCCCTGCATCAGCTGATTGATCTGCTCCAGCATCTGCTCTGGGATCGCCATTCTCAGTTGCTCTGTCCGAACTCCCGCTTCCCGTCGGCCCTAGCTTCGTCCTCGATCCTCTTGCACTCACTCAAGAACTGGCCGACGGCCCACCATATCCTCTTCTGCAACGCACGCCGCAGAGCCCAGCGCACGAAGCGCTCCCAGCAGGCGAGGCGAAGCGGGAGCCCTCTCGCCTCGACCAGCTCGAAGCCCTGGTGCGAGGAGGCGGAGGGCTCCGCTACCATGCAGAAAACATCTCTGTGAAGAACGAACCCCTTTTCTTCATCGCCTGAAGGTGCCTGGAGCAAAACGGTTGCGGGCAACAGCGATGCACATCAATGAAACGATATTCAACATGTCAGCTCACACAACAATCACATAATACGCTACACATCTGCACTTGCTAGCCGCCCGCGCCAATCACTTTTTCTGCGCGCCCAGCATGTCAACGAATTGTCCTGAACCTCCCCTCTTTGCGTCTCCCTCGGCCACGCGCGGCTTTGTTATTTCACACTGCGCAACCCCGATGTCCACGGGGGCGTAGGATGCACTCTTGTGCGAGAAGCGCGTCCTTGGCACAGACACACGCGCAACTGTACCGTTGGCCACTGCGATGGCTGCCATGAAGCCCCCACCAGACCTCAGAGCCCGATGAAGAGAAACCCGACAGTACTCAAGCCCCCGCCCGCGCAGTCACGCGCCTCGGAACCCCCGCCCTCGCACCAGCGAGAGCCCCGCGCGCAATGCGCTGCTCGGGGCCCGTCCGCTTTCAATTATTTGATGCTCGTCGCGTGGCTGGCGGGCGCGCGACGCACGGCCGCTGTATAGATTTTGTCATTCGGCCGTGCGCTTTCGGTCTGCGCTTCTCCCTCCCGCGTCCCTCCTCGGACAGGTTCTCCGGTTGTGACCCAGCCGCGCGTCCCCCGTCTCTCTCTCTCCCTCGACTTTCATTCGTTCGCTTTCTCCCTGTCTCCATCCCACTCGCCTCCCCCGCGTCCTTCCTCCTCTGTGTCGTTCTGTCCCACTCCTGATACATCGATCTCGCTCCCCTGTTCGCTTTTCTCCGGCGCCTTCTGTGGCCGAATCGCGGCCGCCAGTCATCGCTCCGACGAGCCCGACCCTCGGGCCCACGCCGAGTTCTGGCTGCGCTGAGCGCGCCGACCCTGGGGCCCACGCCGACGTCTGGCTGCGCTCCACAGGGTTTTTCGAGCTCTCCCTTCTTCGGGCCCAGAACAGCCCAAAACGGCCCAAGAGGCTCCACATATCGTCCCAAGACAGCCCCAGAAGCCCCCTGAAGGGAACGAAAACGTTCCAAGGTGCCCCAAAACGGCCCCAGAGGAGCCCAAAACGGCTCCAGAGGTTCCCAAGACGGCCCAAGAGGGTCCCCAGAGGGCCATGAGTGCCGCAAGAGGGCCCAAAGAGGCTCCAAAGAGAGCCGAAGAGGCGCCCAAGAGAGCGCCAAGCCACCCATAGGCTTCCCAGACGCCCCAAGACGGCCCAAAAGGTCCCCGAGACCTCCCACAAAGGGCCCAAAACAGCCCCAAAAAGGCTCCGAAAGGGCCCCAAGAAAACCCCCAAGAGCTCCCAGAGCCGCTAACTAAATTGCACCATGGCTCCAGGTTGCAGCCTTCACGTGAGCAGCGGCAATGACGATGACGACGACGACGACGACGCCGCCAGCGGCGACGGCGACGGCGACGGCGCCGGCGACGGCGACGGCGACGGCGACGACAACGACGACGACGACGACGACGAGGACGACGACGACGACGACGACGACGACGACCACGACGACGGCGGCGGCGTCGGCGGCGGCGACGGCGACGACGACGACGCGACGACGACGCCGAGGAGCGCGTCCCGGGAGCCTCCTCCGAACCGTCCCAGAAGCTCCGCGGGATTCCGAATCATCTCCAGTGCTGTCCATGACGTCCCAAGAGAGCCCCCAGACCAAGAGGCAGCCCAAGAAGTGCTCAAAAAACGGCCCTGGGATGGCCAAAGATAGCCCCAAGGTGGCCCAAGACGCCCCCAAGACGCTCCTAAGCGGGCCCCAAGAGGGGCCCAAGAAAGAAAACTCGAACTCGCCTTTGGAACCGCTCACCCCAAGATGGCCCCAAGGGCCCCCAACTCCCAGGAGGCTTCCAAGATACCCCCAAGAGGCCTCCAAGAGGCCCCCAAGGGGCTCCAAAGAGGCCCCAGGAAGCCTCCAAGAGGCCCCCCAAAGGCACGCGCACTAACCCGACCCCCCTTCACGCCTTCAGCAACGAGCAAGTTGGCTTCGAAACTCACGGTTATATTTTTTTCGAGGGCGTTCCCTCTTCCGCGCTATACGCTGGGCTGCGAGGCAGGTAGAACCTGAGCGCGCGCGATGGTTCTAGTGTACGACTCAAGAAAACTAGCAGGTGGAACATGTCGTCTCGCATGGGCTGGTCAACTGGCCTGGGAAGCAGAAGTGGGCAGTGCAGCTGGGCACGAGAGCCATACTTCCAGCAACCGAACATCTGGGGCCTGTATCCGTTAGTGTGATTGCCAGGCGGGCTGGTAGCCCAAAGATGCCAAAGATGGCAAACGCGCTGGGCAACCATGATAAATGATAACGCGAACCACGCGGACCTGTTTTCGCAAATGTGCCCTGGCCGTGAACGGGCGCGGTCGGAGTGAGATTCCTGGCAGCTGCGCTGGCCACGCGATGTGCGCGTCAAGCGAGCTGACACGCTCGGTGTGAACTGCCTGGAAGCAACGCTGGCCAAGCGATGTGCCTGGCCACGTGAGCGTCTTGAGAAAGTATGCTGGCCACGCGATGTGTGCTTCAAGCGGGCGGGTGCGCTTGGACTGGACTTCCTGGCCGGCTTCCCGGCAAAGGCACCTGCAACGCGATGGCAGGTGGGAGCGAGCGGGCACACTTGGAGCTGGCGAGCCTCTTGGCAACAGCGCTGATCACGCGATCTGCGCCGAAACTGGGCGGGCACGCTCGGAACGAGCTCCCAAGCAGCCGCGCTTGCAGCGCGAGTGCCGTGCCCAAGAGCGGGCACGCTTGGAGTCAGCTTCCAGGCAGCTGCGCTGGTCAATCATGCTGTGTGCACGTCAATCAAGGAGGCATGTTCAGAGTTGCCTTCCTGGCCTGCATTTTGGCCACGAAGCTGACAACGCGATGGCTGCTGGACGCGAGCGGGCACGCTTAAAGTGAGCTTCTTGGCAAGCAGCTTCGCAAATATGCTGGCGAAGCGATGTGCGCCGCAAGCGAGCGGGTACGCTCGAAATGAGCTTCCTGTCCTGCCCCCCTGGCAGCAACACTGGTAACGCGATGGCTGCCAGGAGCGAGCGGGCACGCTTGAAATGAACTTCCTGGCAGCTTCTCGGCAACAGCGCTGGCAACGCGACATGCGTCGCAAGTGAACGGGCATACTCGGAGTGAGCTTCTTGGCAGGAGGCAAGAGCATTGGCAACGCGATGGCTGCTGGGAGCGAGTGGGTACGCTTGGAATTAGCTTCGGGGACGCTCCGCGAAGTGTGCTGGAAGCAGGCGGGCACTCACGGGGAATCCAAAGGACTCGCAAGGGAGGGTCAGGGGAGGTAGGTCGCACCAGGGCCCGTGTAGTGGGAAGCCATTACTAATAGACATCAATAGCCATGTGGGCAAGCCTAGCTCGGGAACTAGACGATGCTCCGTTGATGCTCTGTTCAACATGTTTGGAACAACACCGCACGCTTTCGTGAACACATCTGAAAACTGCGAGTTCGGTCGAGCGGATTGCATTGCTGGCATGCTTTCACATATTTAGCTTCACAACGTTCATACTACATTGCAAGTGATACCATCTCTCACAAATTGGTTAGATGATTGATTCTTCCAGCGACAATTGTTGCCATACCAAGGGTGCTGCGACGTCATTACCTCCTGTCAAATTCCAATGCGATCACGTCCTGGATCCAATGAACAAATCCGGGCAACAGGAATACGACCGTCAATATACAACCGCCAACACCCCCATCATCATGTTCGACCCATACCCCATGACCTGTACGGCACAAACTTGCACGCACAACAAGTGGCACTAAAACGCAACACTGAAACGGCTACAACTAAGAGTCATAATGCCTCTGCTTGCTGGGTGTCTGATTCCAGCTGGGACTCTCGCGTGTTGAACTCACTGTGAACTCTCGGCGCTGCCTGGAAAAGGTCTGAACTCTGGACTGCACCCTGCCGGGGACTAGAACGGGAGAGAAGGACATGATGCGGAGCGATAACCAGATGCGCAACTACGTGTCCAATGCTTCCGCTGCTTTCTCTGCATCCTGCTTCGCCCCTCGTCCCTTCCCCATCAAGCGCCGATCCCCCTCCCCCCCCCCCTTCGCCTCTCCTAACTTTTCCTACCACTGGCGGGTTGACAGCTGGCCCATCAGTGTCAGTCCTTCAATTTCATCGAGATCAACTTCGAAGGTGCGCTCGAGTGGCCCAAGTGGGTCTCGAGCACGTTCAAGTCCGCCTGGTTTTCTTCCGTTTCCTCTCCCTCATCCCCCACGCCCAGCATGAACCGTCATAGAGCCCATGAGCGCCTCGAGACACCTACAGAGAGCACCACTGCTGGCATTGTAGTTATGCGACGAACTCTCGTCAAGCAATTTTCGGTGGAACCCTCTCCCCCCGCCACTTCTGGGGGCCGAGCGCATGGCAGGAAAAGCTGCGGGTGGGGCAGCCCGCCCAAAAGCTGCCTGGAGAGGCCCCGGCTGGGCCTCCGGCAGCCCTCCGGCGGCCCGGCCCGCACGGGCCTCAGGCAGCTGCCAGGCGGGCACATGGAAGCTCCGAGAGACGGGCTCTTCTGTGCCTTCCAGGGCTCCCGAAGTGCTTCCAGGCGCCGCCCCAAGTCTGTCCGAGGCATCCCCGGGGCTCTCCCCAGGAGCCTCGGAGAGGCCCTCCCATGCTCAGAGGTTCCACCACGTGCTTTTGAATGACTCTCGGCTTCTAGTGTCCTCGCCCGAGCCAGGCTCAGACAAGCCTTAGCTCATCTGAGGCCCTCCGCGAGGTTACGTAGAAGGGCAAAGAAGAGGGCTCCCAGACATGCAAAACCGCGACCCAAGCGCTGGGCCCGCCCCAGGCCCCCCTTCCTCCTCCTCCTCCTCCTCCTCCTCCTCCTCCTCCTCCTCCTCATCCTCCTCCCTTTCCATCATGTTCTCCTCCTCCTCCTCCTTCTGTTCCTCGTCGCCCTCTTCATACTTCTCCGCGTTGACCTCCTCGTTGACTCACCATCCTGGGTCATCACAGCACGTTGTCTGACGAGACGAAGGGCTGATCCGCAGGAGGATCTGCAGCGGTCGTCCTCTTCCTCTTCGTCCTTTTCACGCTTCTCCTCGTTGACTTACTCGTTCACCCAATGTCTCCCAGGGGGTCAGGGCACGCCGCTTGGCGTGGAGACGGGCCGCTTGGGAAGGAGGACCAGCAGCGGGAGTGATGTTGGAAGGAGAAGGGTGCGCAAGCGGGCCAGAGGGGGAGGCGGAACGAGGAGGAGCGGCAGCAGGACCGGAGGGGCAGGATGGGAGACTCTATGCCTCTGCGGTGACAGTGCAGGGGCGCCAGCCAAGGCGTCAAACTTTTGGCGCGGCTAGGGGGTGACTGAGTGTGGGGGCAATAAGCGGGGGGGGGGGGAGAAAGGTGCACCTGTCGAGCACCTTCGAGGGCCCTGGGGGGCCTTCAGGGCTCCTTTTAGGGCCACCTTCCTGCATCTCTTGGGGGCCCCCTCCCAAAGATCGCCCCCCATTACGACATGCACGAGCGGCGACCTCTCTTCCTCCGCCAGTTGTGAGAGAATGGCGGGACGAGGACTGAGAGCTTTTTGCAATCACTCGGATCAAAAGTAAGCGGCTTCCACCCAACAGAATTTATGACGCCATCAAGTCAGAACGGTACTCCTTGAGCCCGTCTGCTGGGGTGCGCGCTCAGGGTTTGACTCGCCAATGCGCTGGCGGGGGCGATCATGTAGAATAGCGAGGGAAGCATGCCATGGATGCGTATACATGAAAGCGTATGTTGTTGTAGGTATGTGTGCATACACATAGATATGCTTCTAGACATCCATGTGTATATATATATATATATATGTATATATAGCCCATTCCTCAAACCCTGAACCCAAACATGTTTTCATCTCTTGGGGACGCATGTTTTACTTCCGCCACCTTCTGCCGCCCTTCCGCCAACAGAGGCGACCTCGTTTTACTTCCGACGACCTTCCGCCGCCCTTCCGCCGCCTTCCGCGGCGGAAGAGATGCCAACTCGTTCGATCCTCGATGGCAAGGTCATTTTTGGAACGCCTCTCTCTCATGCATATATATATATATATGTATGCACACATCTCTTTACATACATATTAATATATATGTATATATACCTACGCACATATATACATATATATAACGAGGAATGCGGACCCCCCATAATGCCCTTTAGTGAAAACTGCCGAGGACACTCCAGGAGTGCGCCCGGCACCACATGCACCCAGGGAAAATTCAATCGGCACCCAAACACGAACGCACGCATCCGACGAAACGCACGCCGGCTAGCGAAACAGACGGGAGACTACACGGGTGTACTGGGAATGCCCATGTCGAATGAAGCGGTTTAGGGTTCCTTAGCCGATATGTCTGGCTGGATGCAATCTCAATGACTGGTCATGCATTGTATACGTGTGCGTGCACATACATACACATACGTGTTGCCGTCCACCCAACACCCACAAAACTACAGATATACAGCAACGGGGCTCCCGAGTCTGATCCTGATCTACTTTATCCTCGTCTCATTCTGGGCCCTCATCACTCTCATCCCCAACTTTCTTGTCCCAAGGTGGCGCAATCCTCTAGGGGAACGTAAAGGCAGTAGCGAGAGCAATTACAACACCTGAAGTACGAACTGCTGTAATACCTGTAGTAAGAACTGTGATGGGGGCTGTACTACTGGCTGTAGTACGACTTGTAGTGTGGGGGCAGTAGTAAGAGGTGTCGTGGAAACTATACTACACACTGTAGTAGGACCTGTAGCGGGAGCTCTGATACAAGCTGCTTCAAGGGAACATGGTACCCGCTGTAATACGACATGTGAAATGCACTGTTTTCGGAGCTGCAGTGGGAGCTGCACTCTTGGCTGAACAAGAAACTGTGTTAGCAACAAAGTTGGGAAATACAGCGAGGACTGCGTTGTTACCTGTCAAAATGAGGGGGCCGAGCGGTCATTCACTGTCCCTGGGCGGGTGGCTGAATGGAGGTTCTGCGGTGTGGATGGTTGTTGTTGTTCGTGTGGTTGTTGTTGTTGCTGCTGCTGCTGTTGTTGTTGTTGTTGTTCTTGTTCTTGTTGTTGTTATTGTTGTTGTTCTTGTTGAAGGTTGATTACTAAACAATTATTATTGTTGGACCACCCCCAAGGGCTTTGACGCTCTCGCCTCGGCGCCGGCTTCATTTTCATTGAAAGTGAGGCTCACGCTCAAGCGGTTTTGGGGGGCGCCAAAACCGGCCCCCCAACGAGACTTTTTCCTTTTTTGCGCAGGGCCGGTGCTCTTGCTCGCCGCCGAAAGCCGCCGTCCCAACGAAACCAGCACTACCGCTCGAGAGGTCCTCGCGTTTTACCTTGGACTGGCGCGCTAGTCTTTCTCTCATCGGCGCCGCCCCCAGCAACAACAACGCTCCCGCTCGAGACGTCCTACCTTTTTTACTCAAGGCGGTGCTCCTCCTCGCAGGTGAAAACTGCCGTCCCGACAAATCCAGCGCTCCCGTCCCAGACTCCCTCTCGTTTTACGCTGGATACTCTCTTTTGAATTGGCGCCGCTCCCAGCAAGAACAACGCTCCCGCTCGAGGCCTCCTCCCTTTTTCCTCCGGACGGTGCTGCGCCTCGCCGCCGACAACCCCAGTCCTGAGAAAATTAGCCTGACGAAGGACCCAACCATGTGCAGGTGTGAATACCGCAGTTGACACTACAAATTTCGGTGGGGCTCCCTATAGGGCCAAGAAACGTGTGAAGGGGATGGGTGTGCGGGACGCATGCGGGCGGCAGCACTGGGGCCTTCGGTGGAGCTCCCTATGGGGCCACGAAACGTGTGAGGGAGTTGACGAAATGGGTGTGGCTGACGCATGCGGGCGCGGGCACTGGGGCCTTCGGTGGAGCTCCCTATGGGACCACGAAACGTTTGAGGGGTGTGCCGAAATGGGTGTGGCTGACGCATGCGGGCGCGGGCACTGGGGCCTTCGGTGGAGCTCCCTATGGGGCCACGAAACGTGTGAGGGGTGTGCCGAAATGGGTGTGGTTGACGCATGCGGGCGCGGGCACTGGGGCCTTCGGTGGAGCTCCCTATGGGGCCACGAAACGTGTGAGGGGTGTGCCGAAATGGGTGTGGCTGACGCATGCGGGCGCGGGCACTGGGGCCTTCGGTGGAGCTCCCTATGGAGCCACGAAACGTGTGAGGGGTGTGCCGAAATGGGTGTGGTGACGCATGCGGGCGCGGGCACTGGGGCCTTCGGTGGAGCTCCCTATGGAGCCACGAAACGTGTGAGGGGTGTGCCGAAATGGGTGTGGGTGACGCATGCGGGCGCGGCACTGGGGCCTTCGGTGGAGCTCCCTATGGAGCCACGAAGCGTGTGAGGGGTGTGCCGAAATGGGTGTGGCTGACGCATGCGGGCGCGGGCACTGGGGCCTCGGTGGAGTTCCCCATGGGGCCACGAAACGAGGGGTGTGCCGAAATGGGTGTGGCTGGCGCTTGCGGGCGCGGGCACTGGGGCCTTCGGTGGAGCTCCCCATGGAGCCACGAAGCGTGTGAGGGGTGTGCCGAAATGGGTGTGGCTGACGCATGCGGGCGCGGGCACTGGGGCCTTCGGTGGAGCTCCCTATGGAGCCACGAAACGTGTGAGGGGTGTGCCGAAATGGGTGTGGCTGACGCATGCGGGCGCGGGCACTGGGGCCTTCGGTGGAGCTCCCTATGGAGCCACGAAACGTGGTGAGGGGTGTGCCGAAATGGGTGTGGGTGACGCATGCGGGCGCGGGCACTGGGGCCTTCGGTGGAGCTCCCTATGGAGCCACGAAACGTGTGAGGGGTGTGCCGAAATGGGTGTGGGGGACGCATGCGGCCGCGGGCACTGGGGCCTTCGGTGGAGCTCCCTATGGAGCCACGAAACGTGTGAGGGGTGTGCCGAAATGGGTGTGGGTGACGCATGCGGGCGCGGGCACTGGGGCCTTCGGTGGAGCTCCCTATGGAGCCACGAAACGTGTGAGGGGTGTGCCGAAATGGGTGTGGTGACGCATGCGGGCGCGGGCACTGGGGCCTTCGGTGGAGCTCCCTATGTGTGAGGGGTGTGCCGAAATGGGTGTGGGTGACGCATGCGGGCGCGGGCACTGGGGCCTTCGGTGGAGCTCCCTATGGAGCCACGAAACGTGTGAGGGGTGTGCCGAAATGGGTGTGGGTGACGCATGCGGGCGCGGGCACTGGGGCCTTCGGTGGAGCTCCC